CATGCCAACCCTTAACAGAAGGTGGCTACCTAGTTTGTTCAGGCCGCTATAAACTGGGGGCTTATAAACAACAGAAATTTACTGTTCACCATTCTGGAGGCTGGGAAGTCCCAGATCAGGGTGCCAGCAGATTCAGTGTCTGGTGAGGGCTCACTTCCTGGTTCATAGATAGCAGCTTCCACCTGTGTCCTCACATGGTGGACATGGTGAGCCAGTTCTCTAAGGTCTCTTTCATAAAGTCACTGATTTCAGCCTTCCAAAGGCCTCCCCTCCTAATATCATCACCTTTGGGATTAGGATTGTAACATATGAATCCCAACAGTGACACAAACATTCAGAGCATAGTGGTGACAGAAGGCACTTGGGCAAAGTTATGATTTAAAGTGTCTATTCCTCAGTAGATAAAGGCAAGAAGAAGGAAGGAAGAGAGGATTTGACTCCCAAAAGGACTCTGGCAACACAGCCTGGGGATAATTAGGGACTGCTAGTTAATAAACTATAAGTCATCACCTCCATAAATCATCTCTGAGTTTGTCAGTTTAAATGGCTGTCTGGTAACTTGCATCTACATCAATTTTTAGCAAAATTAACTCCATCCTAAAAGACAATTTTTACCAAAATTAACTCCATCTAAAGAGTTGGGGAAAATGTTTTGTTGTGTTTTTCCATCATTTCAAACCATCCCAAATGACCATCCTGCTTGTGGATGAAGTAACTGGTCAAGGTTAATAAAAGTTACATTAGGAGGATTCTATCCAAATGTAATGTAATCTCCTGCCTGGTCTAGCCAAGGTTCCTTGTGGGTCGTGGATGGGGAATAGAAAGCTCGTAGGTCTGGATATCTCAGTATTTCCAACCTTGGCTGCACCATCACTAGCCCTGCAAAGCTGAGCATAGCAACTCATGGCCATGGACCTCAAAATCCACTGGTATAAAGTGAAAGGTAGACTAGAAATCTAAAGCCCCTTTCATTTCCAAGTTTTTATTGCATCCTGGTATAGTACATTTTTGTCTTTCAAAGAGATTTCCCAGAAATTATGGACCAGACCCTTAAGCCAGAATACAACTGTGCATATTGTTTGACATATGCTAAAACACACCTGAGAAGATGATTCTAGATTTGGCAGGAGCTAGGCCAGGACCAAGCATTTCATTCATTCACTCACTCATTCAACAAATGTCTGTTGAACACCTAATAAGTGCCTACATTGTTCTAGACTCCAGAGATACAGTGTGATAAGAGACACAATAAACAAGGTAAATCAGTAAAAGACTTGGCATGTGAGATGGTGAGTGAACTAAAGAGAAAGGCAATAGGAAAGTGTGTCTGTGTCTGTGTCTGTGTGTGTGTGTGTGTGTGTGTGTAACAAGGTGAGTTGAAATGTGAGACAGGGAGCCAATGCCTGCTCTTAAGTCTGGGTTCTTAAACCATGTGCAATGCCACATGACCATGCTGGGTGGGCAGACACATAGCAGGCTGGAAAGAACATAAGCTCAGAGTTGGGGGTCCTGGAGTCTTATTCTTGCACTGCTGCTCCTGAACCCATGGTCTCAAGAAAGTCCTCAACCTCTTTGAGCTGTCAGCTGCAATAAAATGGAAATTAAATATCTACCTCCTGGGCTGTTGTGGGGATTAAATGATGGCATTGTGCAAATACATATTGTGGGACCATGGCCTGAGCCCCTGAGTGGCTGCAGAGAGGGAGGCTCCACAGCTTCATACACTTCGTGTTCAGCCTGTCTGCATCTAAAGGGGCCAGTAGGACTAAATGTCTCCTCTCCCCTCAGTGATCAAGCAGCTACCCAGAGTCCCTGTGGAAACAGAGGGACTTCAGTGGTGCCTGCAGGAAGCACCCTGCCCTCTTCCAGATATGGACAATGATGAATGAGACCAGATGTGGACGATGATGAATGAGATCAGTGGGTCCCATCTCCTTCCTCTAGCCCATCCTTCCCACTGCAACTAGAGACCATCCTCCTTCCATGCCTCTCTGAGCCAAGCCTCAGTCCAAATCTCTCTTCTGCAGGGCCATTCTTGAGGGCCATCTATCCAGCTCCATCCTCCTCACACGGACTTGCAGCACACGGGAACATTTGGAGGCTCTGGACTGACCTTTCTATCCAGCTACTGCCCTCTCTGTCTGAATCACCAGCACTACTGTGTTTCCCTGAAAATAAGACCTACCCCAAAAATAAGCCCTAGCAGGATTTCTATGCATGTTAAATATAAGCCCTACCCCAATAATAAGACCTAGCAATGGGTGTGGCTATGCAGCAGCTCTGCATAGCCACGCCATGCCTTTCAGCGAGGAGCAGTAAGGAAGACTGGAATACCTTTTTTCTGCCACAGCTCTTTTCTTCGAGCCATTCACATTTGCATGGGTGCCCGTGTGGTAACCGTAGTCGCAGGCATCCTATTGTGCATGCGAACAGCTAGGGGAAAGGAGTTCACACATCACTAGACCAGCCCCACCAACAAGGTTGGCTCCCTGTGTCGGGTTCCAGAAGATGACTTAACTATATTTGAATAAATGTAGATTGTTGTATTATAATTAATAAAAATAAGACATCCCCTGAAAATAAGCCCTAGTGTGTCTTCTTGAGAAAAAATAAATGTAAGACTGTGTCTTATTTTTGGGGAAACATAGTAACTTTGAGTCTTTCTTTGAAGTTCAGCTCAAGGTGCCCAGGAATGCTGGATAAATGAATGAAAATGGACCTGTTAGTTTCCAGCAAGGGAGACAAGGTGGGTGAGGGAAGCTCAGTGCACATAGAGCCCTCCAGCTGCAGGGTGGCCTCAGAGAGACCCTCTAGGACCAAGGGAAGATGATGCTCATTTTCAGGTCCAGCTTCTCACACAGAAACTAATTCCGCAATATTTATTATGCACCAATAATTACCAGGCACTGGAAATACACAGTATAACTCGGGCAAGTCTCTACTCCCAAAGAGCTGATGGTCTGTGGACAGAGCAAATAAACAATAGGACAAATAGAGAAGGCTTCAGATGGTGAGATGTGCCCTGAAGGAAACAATGGGGCCACGTGGCTGAGAGAAGCGCAGGCTGCAGGGCTGCTTTAGAGGGGGACTGGGCAGGCCTAAGGAGCTGACTTGTAAGAGGCCAATGGGACCACAGCGGGAGCAGCATCACAAGGTGTGGGGACAGCAAATGCTAAAGCCCAGACTTGGGAATGATCAGAGGTATGGTCAGAGCTGGAGCAGAGCCGTGGCCAGGAGTCTCAATGGGGTTCCCTCTGCCCACTGCTACCCACAGGCCTCATGAAGGCAAATGCGGTTCACACCAGCAGCAGGTAGAACCAAGTGTCAGGGATAGTTGGGGTGCTGCAGCATTGTTCACAATCACGATTCATTGTAAAATGGAAAGGACACTGCACTTACCTCCCAGGGCTCTGGCAGGACACATATGATATCTGTATCCTTTCAGCGCCCACGCTATTGCCTGGCACATGGCAGGAATAAAGTGGGTCTTGCAATTGCTAGCATTAGGCAGGGCCTCATTCTTGAAGCATCCAAGGCCCTGATGGGGTGAGGGCTGTGGTGTGAGGGCAGCTGTGGGGACTGGAGACGTCACCTAATTCAGACTTTCAAAAGGTGATCTGGCTGCAAGTGAAGAATGGGTGGGTGCCCAGGTGCCAGAGGGACAGCCAGGTGGGAAATGCCAGAGTGGGCACAGAAGAGAGTGAAGGAAGAGGTGTCATATGAGGGTACAGGGCTGGCAGCTGGCTGAAACCCCCACCAGCTTACCTTGGCTCCTTTCCAGCTATAAGCTTAAGCTCTGTGCTGGAGACCCCCCTGAAGGACTGGATACAAACAAGTCCAGAAAAGTGAGGCAGAAACCAGTGGAACGAACTGCACTGGCTTGGAAGCTCTAGAGAAGGGCCTTCAGGCAGACTGGCCTATGTTATGTCAGAGGGCGTGGCCTGTGCTTTGCTCTATCAGGGTCAGAAACTCAGTAGAGAGTAAGTGGTACCCAGAATTCTCCTGATGCTGATGGTGTTGGAAGCCTGGAGTTTCTGCACACGCCCCATTCTCGGGAGCTATTGGGTTTGTGTGCAGGAAGGAGTGTGTTCTGCCTCCCCCTTTTCACCTATGCACAACACGAAGAACCAGAGACCAGGTAGTAGGCTGAATTCCCAGTCCCATCTCCTCATACTCCTGAAGACGAATGCGTGCCTCCTTCCTCGCCGTGACCTCACAGAGGGCAGCCGGTGCCTTCTCACTCCCCAACCTTGGGCCTGGCCCTACATCTGGCATCTACCAAGATGTTAGCACCATGACTCAACCAGAGGCTTGAGATGTGCTTATGTTTGAGGGCTCATCCTCTGTGCTCTTGGCACAGCTGTAAGAGAAGAGTGCTCTGGGTAGCCCATAACCCCTAAAGAAATAGCCTCCTGACCTGGAGCCCAGCCCAGCTCAACCCCGGCCAACCCACAGACCCATGACTGAGACACAGATGCTATTGCTTCTCTGCCAGTGAGAGCTTGTTAATAATGACAGCCGACAGCACAGACAGTTGTCAAAAACCTCATTTATGCAGCACCCGTGGTTTGCCACCCAGCCTGCTGACCACATCCCACACACCTTCATGTGACTCGTACACCAACCAAGACACAGGCATCACCAGCTCTAGTTAACAGATAAGAAAACTAGAGCCCAGCAGGTTAAAGACCTATATTCAAAGCCCTGGCCAACATGTGCAAGAATCTTTGTCTGCCTCCAAAGCCCACACTGTGCACCAGGAGCAGGTCTCATTCTCTGTGACTGTCAGCCCCCCACCCTGGATTAGCAAAGCCCATCCTTTTATTTCAAGACTTCTGTTTTCTTCAGCACACATTGCATAGGATTGTTCTTCTTTTCCAAATTATAACTGAGCTGTTCATCTATGGATGCCAAAGAAGTCCTGCAGACAACTGAGAAGCAAGTCCAGGGTTCACTGCCAATACCGGAGGCTGCATCCAGTGGTCTCTGCACAGCACCTGCTAACTATGAGAAGTCATGTGCCGGGAGAGATGGTGGCGCTCCCGGAAGTACTCCTGGCACACAGGGCAGGTGAGGGCCTCTTCTCTCCGCTTCTTAGAATGAGGGTCTGGCCCTGCCAGCTCCTTTTTGTGGTGGGACCTCATGTGGAAGACCAGGTCGGACGTCAGGCGGAAGGAGAGGTTGCACTTTGCACACCAGTTCTGGGTGGACAAGCCCAGGGAGGTGAGGGTGGGTGGCAGGACGGCCCAGGAGGTGGGGGGGGATGATGAGGGTATGGGCGCCCGGGCCTGGGTGTGCTCCAACCACAGTGTAGGGCCACCCAGGAAAGTGCTGCAGAATGAAGCATTCTGTGGCAACATCTGCAAGTTCCAGAAATCACTGACTAAAAGCTTGGGAGTTGAAATTCGACCCCAACAAGGCATGTCTACAGTGTTGATGAGCCCAGACAGCTTCCCCAGGGTATCTGCACATTCACTTGCAGGGAAGATGGCGCTTGGCCCAGGCCTCTCTGCTGGCCGCTTAGCTGGCTTGCTGAAGGCGCTTCTCTGCTCACCTCGGGCTCCACTGGGCCACACAGAGAAGACTGTGCTGCCAGCCAGGTCCCTGGGAATATCCTGGGTCAGCTGCAGGGGGCCAGACTGGCCCGCTGGGTTATCCTGCTCCCTTTCTTGGGCCTGATCGCCCCCCTGCCTCTCCTTGAGCCTGGGCAGCTCTGTGAGGGCACTCTGCCTCTGCTCCCCATGCACTTTCTGCAGCAGCGGCTTGCCCAATCTAGGCTTGCCTGTGACTGCAGACAGTGCCAGGTCCACACAGGCTGCATCCCGGCTGCCTCTGCCCATGGCAGCCTCAGAGCCCAAGTGGTTGGTTTTCTCAAGTAGCACTGGCTTGCGGCCCCGGCCCTGTTCAGGTTCGCTAAGCCGCCATCTGTTTGCAGCCGATGGGCTTGGTGCAGCCCCCTTCCCAGCAGCCATGCTGGTCATCAGGGCCTGGGCCACTGGCCGAGCAAGGCAAACACTTCAGCAGCCATCAGGGTTCAGGGCTTTGAGGTTCACAGGGCTTGGCCAAGGGAGGAACCAGGAGATGGGAATGCTCCCCACGATGGCTGGGCTGGACACACTCGGCCACAGGTCCCTGCAGAGAGAGGAAGCGACAGGCAGTAAGATAGGGATTTGCCACTTGGGGCATACATCAGAGAAGCCACCTGGTGATCAGGCCTCCTTTGCTGTCTGTGGCATGAGATCATCCCAGAGCCCACCTCCCAGCTGGACTCCAGAGTCCACCTCCCAGCAGCAGGACTAGGAGCGAGGTCTCTGCTCAACATGTCCAGAGCAGCATCCCAAGGGGCAGAGTACCTGCACTCCCCACCTTTCACCTCTGCCCTGCCTCATTCTGCAGAACTAGGGTGAGAAAGGGGTTGGCTGGAGAGGAACAGGAGGGAGCCTGCTCTGGGGACAGTGTTCAGGCCTCCAAAGCCCTCAGAAGCTTTTGCATCATCTGTCAACAAGCGGACTCCAACCTGAGGAAGCCAAGCACTACTGGCTGCTGCTCCATGCTCACCCTGTGGCCCTGGCTGAGTGTCAAGGGCACAGGGGAGGTACTGCAGAAGAGGGATACAGTGCCAAAGGACTGTGAATTTCACAGTCCATGTTCCTCACAGCACCCCTCTCTGTCCCTGCTGTAACTTCAAACCTCTGCTCCCTGGGCTTCTAGACAGCCCCTTTGTCCATAGTTTATCCCCTGCCAGCTTCTGCTTGGCCTCCTTCCACTTCCTCCTAGCCAAGCTTCTTGTGAGAGTCTGTGTCCCCACTCCTACCCCTGCTGCCACCCCAGCCCCATGTGATCAGGCGTTGGCTCCCCCTTGGTGGAGTCTGCTCCAGCCAGGACCACATAACAGTGGCCACTGCTTAGCCCTGTGGATTCTTGTCCAGCCAAGCAAGACCTGATTATTTTTATAAACAAACGATTCATTTTTAAAATATGGCTGTAAACACTATGCAATAGCATGGAAGAAAGCTTATAATGTAATGTTAATTAAAGTATTTAAATACAAATAAATGGTAAAACAAAACAGGGTAGGGGCCAAAGTAAAGATTTCCTTTATATCAGAACAGTCTGAAGGTATGGTTAGGTTTTTCTCCAAGGCTATTTCTGTCCATAATTTGGTTGTCTGTCCCTTCGGGAAATTCTACAAACTATCTAATATCCTATAATAAAAACATCTTTCTAATTAAATATATTTTTAAAAAGCAATAGAAGGCCAAGCCGTGGTGGCTCATGCCATGAGCTCAAGAGTTTGAGACCAGCCTAAGCAAGAGCTGGACCCTGTCTCTAAAAAACATAGCCAGGCATTGTGTTAGTTGCCTATAGTTCCAGCTACGGAGCATGCTCAGGCAAGAGGAACTCTTGAGTCAAGAAGTTTGAGGTTGCTGTGAACTATGTCACCACAGCACTCTCTCCAGGGTGACAGAGTGAGACTATGTCTCAAAAAAAAAAAAAGCAATAGAAAAAAGCTCTATCTTCCAAATAAACAAAAAAAGAAAGAAAATATATATATTAAAACTATATATAAGAAAATAATATACACTACCAATACTATACTATATAATAATAGTAGGATATAACAGTATGTATACAATATACCATGTAATATAAACTATACATCTACCATACACTACAGTGATATTAGTACTATGGAATTTGGAGTAATGATTTTCACTTTCTATTTTCTAATAACATCATGCTAGTTTTTTTTTTTTTACATTTTCTTTAGTTATTTTAAGCAGTCAACTGCTTTAAAGGAGGCAGTGACTTGGTCTGGGCTGGAATCCTGTAATGCTATTCTCACAACCAGGAGGAGCTGTTTTCACTGCTGGGATGCTACTTTCCTACCTGTTCTGGGAAATAATTCTGAGATAAATTCCCCCCATTCTCTACTCTGCCTTGGGAAGGAGGAGTTCTAGCTTCTACTCTGGCATCTCCTGGGAACCAAGGGGCCCACGCACCCGGCCAGGGGCACCCCCTGCTGGCTACAGATTGTCTGTCATGGGGGCTTCTGGGCCTGTATCACACTGCCTGAAGAGAGGTCACCTCCACTCAGCCTGGGACTGGGCCCTGAGCAAGCCAGCCCTGAGCCACATGGACTAAAGGGGATCTTCAGAGAAAGGGAGGAAATGCCTGAGCACTCAGATCAGATCAGCTTTTGAGCAAAGTGTGTTTCATTTTCTCTTCATTTATTCATTCAACAAACATGCACGAAACATCTACTGTATGCCAGCCTCCACATACAGGGCCTGGTGGCTGGTGGCTCTCACATGGAGAGAATGCTAAGACTGGTGTGGCTCGCACATGGAGAGAATGCTAAATAATTCAAACCAGCTGGAGAGGAGGGTGAGATGGGAAACCAAACACCAGCCTGCAGGGTAGACTAGAGGGCTCTAGTGAGATTCAGAGCAGGAAGGCCACTCCACGGAGGCCCCCCCAAAAAATGTAAGTCCCAGACTCAGTCCTGAGATAGCAGCCTATGGCCTCGCCCATGGCTGGATACAGGATAAAAACATGGTGATGAAAGGTAGAGGACACAGCATATCCTCAGGCATCTGGCCAAGGACACAGCCAGCCATGCTCAGAGGAAGGACATTGAGCTGTCAGCTTTCCCCAGCCAGGTACCCGTACCCCAGCTTGTCTCCAGTACATGTGGCCAAGTCTTAGCTGGAAGCTTAGGGCTCCTTTGCTTTCTGAGCCTGGGGAAGATGGAGACCAGGACACGGCACAGGTCAAGAGAAAAAGAAAAAGAGAACAAGAAAGCAGAGGATTGTGTAAAGATGCCTTGCGCTAACCTTCTTCCTCCCCCACGATTGCCCCCACATTTCTCCAGGGATTATGATAATACCAGAAAAAGCATGAGAAACCTTTGCAAATGAATTGGGGTTCACAAGCAAGTTAAAGACCAAGGCAGATAAAGACAAATACCAAAGACATCAGGAGGGCCCTGACCTCCCTCAGGGAGAGCTACACAGTGAGCTGACACGCCCGCTGGGCTAAAAATGAGAGGTCAACACTCCCCTGGCAGCCACCATCTAGGGTAAGGTGACCAGACGTCCCGCTTTTGGCGGGACAGTCCCACTTTTGAACAATTTGTCCTGCGTCCCGCGGTGTTTTAAAAAAGTCCCGATTTTTGGAAAGAATGCAGGAACGGGCGGGAGAACAGGAAGAGAATATACGGTTTTCGGCTGCCACGTGGCTATTTCGCCAGAATATGAGTTTTATATTATTTTTTTAATTTTATAATGTTAAACTGTAATAACAAATAATTTTTGAGAAGTGATTATCGAGAACTGCTTATCAAAGTTTGCATTGTTGTCAGGCCCTGCC